CCCCCTGACCCCCGCGGTGTCCCCGGAACAATGCGGCTGACAGCTCCGGCCGCGCCGCCTCCCCGGGCAGCTCCTTCCTTCGCCGGCCTCGGCCGGCGCTCGGCCGCGAAAGCTTCAGATGCCAAAGCTTCAGATGCGAAAGCTTCAGATGCGAAAGCTGTCACCGCGTCGCCTTTTCGGCGACTTGGGGTGACGGTGCTTGCATGTGTGTCCGAGGGCAGCGCAGTGTTCCAGGTTGTCGTAGTTCCGTGAGCGATTTTAATCGAGCGGCGTTAACGATCCCGTGTTAAAATGGAAGTTTACGTCTCTTCCTGGAACGAAATATTCACGATAAGAAATCAGAGAGAGGAAAATCCACGTTAATATAACTAGCTATTGCGTTATAAAGCCCAGCTCGCTCGGATCGCCTGCTCAGTTACAAAAGGTTGAAGTTATATATATTATGAAGTTATATATCAGGCCTTACTTTAATTATTTTTTTTCATTCTAGTGTTAAATTGTGTCAGTTCTAATCGCTTTGTGAAGCGTTTGTATTAGAACTGGAATCTCACATTAAGTGTGCCTTGCCAAGAAGTGATTTCAGTGCATCATGATTAGGAGCTGGTTGTGCTTAACATCCATAATAACCCTCTTTAAACAAATTCCAAAGCAATTCTCCAACAGTGAGGTGTACAGGAATTTTCTCTCACTTATAAGTTGTAGGTAAACTTAAGCAGTGCCATGACATCATAGCTAGCAGTATTAGAGGCTTCTTAACGTTTGGCATTATCTCTTAAGGTTTGTTTCACAATAGAGTGCCTGCCTCTCCCAGAATTCCAACCCAAGTATTCAAGTTTTACAACATAATTATCTATAATTATATAGGATGGGATGTTTTCCTGATTACTTGACCGAGAATGGGGTTAGTGGCTTTTTGGTTTGTTTTCTAGGGGGTGTGTTATAATTCTACCTTTCTGTCTTCAGAAAGTTCTGTTTTATCTAATCCATAACATATTGGCATGCTTTAAATTTTTAAGTTATTAGAATCGTGAGTTGAGGGTTGCTCACAGCTGAGCTTAGAGATAAAAGTACTGTCACTTCACAAAACTGAATTTAGAATTATCACACACACTCCCACCCCATTTCTATGTTTGAGAAAAAGCCTTTCCAAGAACAGTCAGATTTCAGAATTCTAAAGATAAATACAGTTCCTCACTGTCAGTCAGGCTCAGTGGGTCCACCTCTTGGTAGTATGACAACCACTTTAGGTCACTTTTTAGCACAAGTTGTGACTTAGGAATAAAAATTTATAGTTCTGTAAAATCTTCCTTCTAAAAACTGCTTCCATTTTCATATTAGAGAATATAGTGCACTTGTTAGATACAAGTGCATCTAGGTAGGTGTTAGATATACCACATCTAGATAAGGGGGGAAAAAAATCCTCAGGAAAACGCCAGTGCACCCTGCAGAATCCCACAGATTCATTACTCCAGAAATTACTCCAGAAATATTTGAGCGGTGGCTTCAGAATTAGGCGCTTTAATGTGGAAATGGTAGATAGCTCCTTCAAACAGATTCTCTGTGCAATAGCCAGTGCTCTTTTTGCTCTTATATGGTAATACTGAGACAATGATATTCAAAATACTGTGGGAGGGGGAATTAAATCTGCCATTTGAATTTTAATTTATAAATTTCTACTCAGTGGATTGAAAAACTACTCACTGAGTAGAAATTAGTATTAGGAAAAAAATACTACTTTAATAATAATTTTGAGGTGGCATCTTTGAAATTCTTGGTTATTTTTGCAGAGAGCTCACTCTATAATACCAAGTAATGTGTGGTAAACTGGTCTCAGGGTTTTTTAACATGGTTTTACACCCTGGAATTGTTCTTCTGGGCAGGTTTAAAAACTGCTTATAGTTACTAAAATGGTAAACTAAACTGTTTGTACAAGTACTGCAGGTTCTTTTGGGGGATGAGTGAGAGTGCTTTTGTTTTTAATGAAGCTGTGCTTTCTTCCTTGCCTCGGTAATTAATTTGCATGTTATCAGCAAAGAGTGGTTTGTAGCAATCTCTGCACGTTGCTTACTTGGTTGGTTGTTTTGGGGCTTGGGGGGGTTGTGTTTATTTTTAAGCAGAAAAACATTTCAAGTCTTTTCAAAATAGAATAAATCAATCTTTCTTTTTTAGCCTCTTCTGAAGCAGTCGCCCTGGAGCAATCAGAGTAGTGGCTGGAGCACAGGAAATATATCCTGGGGAGGAATGCATGGCAGAGACCATCGTAGAACTGGAAACATGGGAATTCCAGGAACTATGAACCAGATCTCTCCTTTGAAGAAGCCCTTTTCTGGTAATGTCATCGCTCCTCCTAAATTTACTCGCTCCACTCCATCACTGACACCAAAATCGTGGATTGAAGATAACGTTTTCCGAACTGACAACAATAGTAATACTCTCCTTCCTTTGCAGGTAAGGATGGTATGTACCTGGTGCCTTCCTAGTCTCACGTAGCACTTTGACTTTGTTCATTTTAAAGCAGAATTAAACAGTGGCTGCAGCACTGAGACATGACTTGAAAATTGTATATTTCTGTATTATTTTTTAGTCTTAACTTGTAACTAACCACAACATTTCAGTGTATTCAGCAATACATGATTCTCACAGTTAAATAAGAATATTGACTGTCAGGAAAGACACAAATTGTAGACACTGATGAAGCAATAAAATAAAGTATGTTTAATCCAGCAAGTATTTTCTGGCTATGGTAATGCTCATATTCCTATAAATGCCTTTACAACTCGGGATCTTGTTTTTGTTTGCTTGTCCCTGTACATAGATTCTCTTCTTAGATGGCTCTTGTCTCTTTGTCATGTTTACTTTTTACTGGTATGCTAGGCTGACCTTTTTCCTCCACATTTTAGCACCTTTTGTTTTGTCTGGAAGCCCTGTGATTTGGAAGTGTTGAACAGGAGGATATGATTTAGAACTAAAGATCTGGGTTCACCTCCTGAAATTTGCCAGTGACATCTTATGTGACTTTAGAGAAGTCACTTAACTCCAACCTCAGTAACCTCTTGGTAAAATGTTATTTTTCCCATTCTTACCTATATTCATTGAGTCGTTCCTTGGTAGTGGAGGCCTTTCATTTGTCATAATTGTGACCCCATTTGAGTTGATACAGCTGTAATTGTATAAATTAGCAATCTAAGCCTTATGTAGCTGTAGTAGTGGCAAAAGGGTACTCTTTGGGACCAGAGTTCCCACTGGAGTTCCTGTTTTTCTTACCATATTGCTGGTGGAGGTCCACTTGGCACAGGAGGATGTGTCCCGACTCTGTCCAGGTGAGCTCTGGTACTTGCACTGTTCTGGAAGTCAACATGACTTTTGGACATACCAAAATCCTGCTCCAAGTGTATGCGTTGGACCTGAAAAGTTAAGAGGATTTGACCATAGTGTGAAGAGTGGTTCCATTAAGTAGCCTTGCTAGCTGGAATATCATAGTTGAATTATCTTTTGTGTGGGTGGGAAAAAGGTGACATTCTTTAGGTATTATGGTCAGATTACAGATAAGTGGCGCTTTGCAGTGCGGGGCTCCAAAACTGGAATAATGACAGTAAACACTGAGATATGTCCCAAAGTTGTTAGCCTAAGGAACAGGTTTAAAAACATTAATGTCATCCTACATTGAAACCAGAGTGATGTATCTTTTGGGATTCATACGTGGCTAAGTACAAGTTGTGAATACATTTGCTCATTCAATATGCCTCACAAGTCAGTGGGACTATTACTTTGAAGTTGCAGAAGCTTCTACAGTGGTTGTCTAATATAGATAAACTCATTTTACGTCTAAGCAGGCATCGTGTGCGTTCAAGCTATAATGGAAATAATTTCTATGTAGTAGGGCAGGAAAGAAACCCTTGCAATTGAACTTTATAATAAATTGCATTAATGTTTCTGTTCAGGGAGATTTTTTAAGAGGTAGTGTCAGGGTGAGAAGTTGGGAATCTTAATTGTTGTTGGTCATGCCTGTGAGCATCAGAGCCACCAGTTAAATAGGCCTGTTTGGCTATACTTATGCTGTAGATCTGTCTACGCTTAAATCTTCCTGATGTGTATAAAGTCATAGTTGCAGAACGCAGTAAAAAATAATCCTCTTTGAAGGGTTACAGTGTTATCTACTGCTGTTGTGGAAACAGTAGGTGTTTCCATAAGTTACTTTGCTACCCTGAAATTTTATTCTTATTTTTCAGGTAGTACACTATTGTTATATGATGAATTCCTTGTGATGACTGTTACATTTTGCAAGTCACAATGAAAAAGTTAAATAGAGCTTGGAGCTTGTGCTTCTTTTCATCAGGACTTGAGTTGGCAATTGCAATGCTGTCAAACACCCATCTTACAAATTTGTACTGTGCTTGTCTCCTTCCATAAAAGGCTGTGGTATTTAGATAGAGGATTCTTAAAGATACAGTAGCAATTTCAGAAGATACTGAAAAAAGAGTATTAATTAAACTTCGTGCCCTTTGGAAAGTGCAGCACAGAAGCATTTATGTGAGCATAGAAGTAACCTCTTTCTTCCAAGCTTCCACAGAGCAAACGCATCTTAGCATGCACGTTGGATACATACTGCATCATTCACAGTTTGGCAGAATACTTTTCCACATGTTCACACATCTTGGTTTTAATTGCAGTAATCATTTTGCATGCAAAATTTTGTCCTCTGCCGTAGCAGGGCACAAAGCACCTCAACTCCGCACTTCAGCTAGCTCAAACTTAGCAGATAAAAACAGCTTAGAGAAGCCAGTGCCCTCAGTGGCTAACCTGGTGTAGATAATTAATGTTCAACTACCATTTTTTAAAATGCTGTAGGTTTTTTCTAAGTCCAAATAGCATTCAGCAGGGTCAGCTGCTCATCTCTTTTCTGTAAAACGTGCACCCGATGGAAACAACGTAAGCCAGAGAGGAATCATACGCAAATTCAAAACTTTGCCCTTCCATCAAATTTCTTTATTCTTTGGTGTTTGTATTGATGGGTGGTCGCCAGGATAGAACTGACATCAAGTCTGGTGAAAATAGTGTTTCTTGACATTCACATACCAGTGACAAATGTCATTACTGATAACTGAATAGATAAATACGTGTATTACTTGACAGGACGAAAGCAGATTTTCTGTACTTCCTAGTTAAAATTGAAACACCCCATGTGAAGTTAAGTTCACAATGGCCCTGTTAGTTGCAGCAAAACTGCTTTTGCTTGCAGAGGTTATGAAGGATGGCTCGGGATTGTTCAAAAGTTTGACACTTCGATTTGGTTTTATGTAGAAGTAATTAAACATCATGGCGACACTGATTGAAACATGAGCAAATTGAGCCTATAGCCAAGTTTTTCTTACATGACTCACTGTAAGAAACTTTTCCTTCTTCCTCAGGTATAAGATAACACAAACTGCATCAAATAAAATTTTCATAGACAAAATTGTATCTACAAGTTTTAAGTTCCACCATACTCCTTGTACCATTGTAGGTACTTCATTCTGGGAAGGGATTGTTGCCTTGTACCAGAATCATTAAAGGAACAGGTATTGACACCATGCAACTTAAGGATTTAATTGAGGAGCCTATTTCTCTCTCCTTAGAGAGAATCTAGGCTCCTTATTTAGATAATCTAATTCTCTAGAAGATCATACCTGGCACCACTGACCTTACACAGCCCCTGGGATTCCAGTTTAGGCACTTACGTTGCGTTTCAAGAAGTCAGACAATATGGATATTCTCTCTTATTCCCTGACCTAAAGTACAAAAAAAAAAAGAATGTAGGGTACAAAGCTAAAAATACATTTCTAACCCCAATAGTGGTATTTTTTCCCCAAAAAAGCATACTTCGGGCATTTCTGTGGCAAAACACAAGCACAGAAGTCAGTATTTTGTGTATTAATTTTTTTGATTTATGTTCCCTGGACGAGGAAAATAATTAATAATTTTTGGCCTTTTTTTAGATTGCAGTATCAGCTAACCCTATTTTGATGGCACACTTAATTTTTCTTACTGTCTTGCAAATAAGCTTACTAAAACCTGTTACAGCAGTTTAATAGCATACTTCAGTGCTCAACTGCTCTCATTCTAGTAAAAACACTGCATTCTATGAATATGAATTTAGTTTCTGCATCTCTTTTGAATTAAGGAAGTACACTGCGTGTCTGGAAGTTATTCACCTTGATTTGTCCTTCCTGTTTGTTGAAACAAACTGTGTGTGTAATGCTCATGGCCCTAAAAGCTGAGCTTTACTATTCTGTGTTTGAACGTAGCTCTCCAGCTGGGGCTTTTTATGGTAAAGTTCCATCTTGCACAAAGGCAAGTTTTTTCATTTGCCATTTATTTTTGAAATGTGCTTAAGTTTTGAAAGAAAGCAAATCAGTTGAAAAAGGAAATGAGGTTCAAGACTGTATGTCACAACAGGTGTTAGTTTTAGATAGTTAATTTAAGCTGCTGTCATGTCACTGCTGCCTGACAGTCACTTCCATGCGGAGGATTTCAGATTTTCAGTATGGCAGTTTCAGTGCAATGTAAGACAGCTTAACAGTGTAAATGGCTAGTCTAGATGACACACATACCTTTCAATATTAGGTGAAGAGCAAGTTGCTTAAGTTGGGTTCTTAATGCTGTGTTCAGACTCATAAATATGTGCCCCTTTCTGCAGAAGTGCTGTACTTTCGGCAGCAGATACTAAACTTGAAGGCATTGGGAGTATGTAGCTGCTAAGTTCTCCCAGTCCTCAGACTAGTGTAATTGTCCAAATGCTGATTTATAAGCCAGGCTTTACCAGTTTATTTTTACTAAGGCAATGCTATAACAGAACAGTTTCAGGATTTTTAATGCAGTAGGTTGATTGTCTGGGCCTGATTAAATAGCACACAAAAGCAGATACGGGTGTTTGGGGATCATACTGGGGATATCTCTAAGTGGAGAAAGCAGTTTGCTGCCATGCTTTTAACTTTAGGATTGTGACCTTCGAATAAATAGTATCAGGAGCTGCACAGATTAATGATTCAAAGGAATCAATTAGCAGGAAGTTTGTGGGACTTACCATACAAACGTTTTTATGACTTCATATGAACTCAGACTTTTCTCCTACTATTTAAATTTGCCTTAGTCATAAAGGTCATTCTATTAATGCAATACAAAATTAGAGTTAGAAAAATTCAGCAAGTGTTTAGGAGCCATGGTAGTATAGCAGTGATGTGTACTCTGAGTGGGTATCTCACCTTGGTCTGTCTGCCAGAGCAAGGTTGTTCTCTGAGTTAAAGTGATTATGTTCTCACCTAAGATGTGTCTGAAGGTGCATTTGCCACATGTGCTGCTGGTGTACTGCATTTAAGAACTCAACTCCAGACTGTATAGATATTTCTAGGTGCAGGGGGTGGGGAGTGAGGAACCTGAAGCTTGAATAGCAACTTCCCCTTCAAATGTCT